TATTTCTGTCAGGGGTATGTGCTTTATGTAAACAACACTTACACACACACACACACACACACACACATACACACACATCAGAAAGGAGCCATAGAATGTTCAGCCAGTTCCCTGTAGGAGTGTTTTAAAATTGGAAATGTTCCCAACATTCCCACTTGCATTATAGGGGTAATGACACTGATTTTTATATTAATACTGATTCTCTATTTTCTGCTGTACTTCCTTTAGCCACCACCCAGTTCCACTTCTTTTTACACTTACTATCTTTCTGTTTCTTTCTTACCCAGTCATCTTCTTCCATTCTACTTCTTATCACATCACTTTTTTCTCTTGGTTTCTAATAAATTGCTTTCTTTCAAAAACATATACTGTTTTGTTTCCTTTCAGTACTGTTAGGTTTTCCTCCTTGTTTTGGCTACCACATTCATAGTATAAATTGTTTCATATTCTTTTCAGAAGTGGATGTAGTAAGGAGAAATAGAATGTTTCCACTATCTCCATTCTGTGTATTCTTCTGACTTTCTTTGAACATCTTTCTGTCTTAATCACCTTTCTTCCTTGAAGCCAAACATGTTCATTTTTGTTATGCCTGTTTACCTTTACTAACTCCTTTCCTGTTTTGTCTTCTTAGTGTCCCTTCTCTAACCTGCAAATATTTTTTGTTACTCTATTAACTATTTACACTCTTCTCTTACCTTGAGTCCTCTTTTGTGATGTCCCTTGGCTCTCTTTGAGTATTTGTCTTCCCATCCTCATCTTTCATTTTGTCTTTTCTTTTTCCTCCTATCAGAGCTACTTACACTCTTAATTTTGCTCTAAATTGACCATGGAAAGTTATTACTTACTTTGTTGATTTAGTTTGCTGCCTTTAACAGCCATTATTGCAAAACTATAACAGTGTTTTTGCAACTTTGAAATGTTTGTGTGGTTTCTACCAGCTTCCACCCCAGAGGAATTCACAAATGAACCACTGTATACTTTATTATTCTAATTAACACATGGTCTGCAGCTATGGGGTTCATTAGTACCATTGTTAATCTATCTTCAGCATGCCATTAACAACCCACAGACAGAGTTCTCTTGAAGCAGTTATTCCTTTTTGGATTGCAGGATGTCTTTGGAAGAAGTTCATTATTTCTTTCACTTACATATAAACATTAATATTTGTTTTGTATTTCCACATTCTTTTAGGGTTTTCATGATATTATATGAAAAATATACTAAGTTTTAATAAGCTGAATCAACAAGTGTTTTGAAAAGAAACACTTGGACGTTCATGTTTAATGATTTATTTTTCATGTCTTAGCTTGGTTAAAAGTTGTAATGCTGTGATGACATAATGATTATTGAGTATCCACCACAGTGCAACTAATCTCAAACTTCAGAAGCCCTTATGGTTGAAAGGTGGCAGTATGAACTAGCTGTTCAAAGCACTGCCTACAGAAACAAGGATTTGTTTTTGAGGCTTTGTTTTTAGCCTTTTGTGAGTTAGGAAGTCTTGAACAAGTAACATAAGCTGCCTATGTTTCATCAGTAATTTGAGGGTTGTAATACCTATCTCATAAGGTGAGAATTAAGTGAGATCTTGCATGTAGGAAGCTTAGCATAATATTATTGATACTAAAACAAATATTAGCTTACATGCTTTTATCTACTAATTATATCCCAGTGAGTAATTAATTTAGCCTTCATTAAGCAAACATTTATGGGATGATTGCTAAATAGGAAGCACTCTTTGACTATATAAAGCCAAAATGTCTGGGCCCAAAATTTGATTCTTGAAAACCAGTCTTCGCCTGTAACCAAGTAAGGAAAATAATGCTTACCATGGGATAGTTATGGACATCAAATTTAATGAAAGCCTCTATATTAAAGGTCTTACTATAGTATCTCTTACAGAGTAGGCTCTCAAAAATTATAGGTATAATAAATAACACTAATGATAAGAAGATAAGAACCTGATTGACAACATACATGGTCCCTGATCTTTAAAGGAGCTAAAAATGTGAGTAAATCATAGCAATTCAACATCTGTACTCTTATATCCAGCAGTGTGCACACATGACAGCTCGAATGCAGGGATTATGGGAAGTGGATTCAGTACGGGTGGAGAGGTGAGCTGTGGGCAGGCGGATGGCAGTTTTTCCTCCTCAAGAATTATAGGTGAGAGCAGAAAGGAGCACTTGGGGTAGGGCTCTGTGTTGTTTTTCTGACATAGACTTGGGTATCTCAGCAGTAGGGTACTGCTCTCATGGCCAGGTGGGTTGAGACTGAGAAGATTCTAGCAATATGTAGGGGAGAGTGAGAAGAGTCTGGATTAAGACAGTCACAGTGGGAATGGAAGGGAGGCTAAAGATGAAGCATTTAAAATATTTTAAGATGGGACACTCACTAATTGAATATTAGAGGTCTGGGCTGACTGTTAGGCCTATGACACAAATTGGGGGCAGAAAGGGGATAGTCTGGTCATTATTTGCAGTAGAATTGAAGAGCAGATGGAGTTGTCCCTTAAGGAGTTGGATATAGGAAACATAAGACTGGAAATATGTGGAGGGGTCTCAGAGTATTAGACCTAGAGACCTTAGCAGCAAAGTCTGTTGATATCATCCAGAAAGACGAGGGAAGGGAAGGAACCAGAACAGAAGCCCAGATCAGGATACAGGTTTTTCAGTGGCAGGCAGATGAAGAATCAGATGGAAATTGGAAAGGGCTGGTCAGAGGTATAGGAAAGGAAAGAAGAATTATATGGAAAGCCAAGATGAAAAGAGCCTCAGAATCATGGGAATGGGTTGTGTAGGTTAAGTGGAAAGAGGACTAAAGAGTGTCCATTCACTCTGACTTTCTGAAGAAGGCATGGTACTGACAAAGGACAGGAAAGGAGGTGTGAGGGGGTTGTTGTGTGGGGCCTTGCCTTGGGAGTTTGGGGGAATGCTAGTAGTGTGGCTCATCTCCCTGTTAGACATCCACTTCCTGTGGAATGACTTCTCCTTTCCAGAAATTGGGGGTGAATTTGAGGGAGACAGTGGAACTTTATTCAGAAAAGTAAATATCTTTCCTATCTCATGAACAGGTTGATTGGTATAGTTGTATGAAACATTAAGATGTGGAATTTCTGTCATCAGAACATAGTAATTGTCATTTATTGAAAGTGCTTGCTGTGTTATAGGCACTGTGTTAAGAGCTTTCTATACATTTTAAAAATTCTCCCCAAAACATTAAAAGGAGATATAGAGGAGGAAAGACTTTCCCTTTTTACTCCTAGATGTGGTAGTTGGGTCCATGAACTAAACCAACAATAGGCAGATTAACATGGCAATAGGTTTAGAATGTATTCACTTTTAATATTCATAGCAGCATCACAGGAAAAAAGTGAATACTCTCCATAAGCAGTGAAATTTGAGAGCTTATATAATATGGTAAGAGGCTATTGAAGACAAAATAAATGTTTTTTAGGAAAGATGCATGGGCTCTTAGAAGAATAGATGGAAGATACAGTAGTTCGTAACAGAGTTTGCCTGAGTGTGGTGCCAAGCTCTCCTCTCCTTGACTGTGATAAGCATCAATCTGCTCTGGCTGATGAAACTCCCAGGGAGGGGATTTATGACAATTGAGTTCCTTTTGGAGGATCTGTCTTTAGGGACATAAAAGGAGTTCAGAGAAAGCCTCTTCCATTTGCTGTTTTTCAAGTGTCTTTAGCTCAAAACAATCAATACACTAAAGCAACATACTTTGGGGTGGTGTGTCCGGAACTCCTTCAAAGAAAATAACATTTCCTATTTATAGATGAAGATACGTGAAGGCTTAGAAAAAAGTTTAGTTCCCCAAAGTCACATATCTAAAACCGCAGGGATGAGGTTCAAACCATGCCTGCCCAATTCCAAAGCCCGTGTGCTATTTCCGTATAGATAGCATTCCTGTGATCTGTGGAAATCTGGGGGTGGGCTTTTTAAGCAGCACAAGCCTAAAGTACTTATGTCCTTAGTACCAACAGCTAGGGCAATGTTGGTGGCTCCTGAATCAATATAGAAGGCCCAGAAAAAATATATTTTGCCACTGTATTTCATATGCTCATCATGGTTAGATGTGATTGAAGTGTATTTTTCTGTTGCCACGTTGATGTCACTTTAATGTGCTGGTCATTATAGGGTTGGAGGCAGCACCAACATACCACCATGTGTTATTTCTTCTGTCATTATTAGGAAAGAGCATATTATATTGGTTGACCATTGGTTCGTAGGATGTCTACATAGACTAAGGGCCAATCTCCTTATGGAAATGACTACGCTTTTAATAAGTCTTGTAAATTATACATATCCCAAAAAATTAGCCAAAAAGAAGTGAACTGTGGACCTGTTTTCTTCCTCAGTAATACCAGATTTAGAGAATTAATTGCCTTCAGTTGATGTAAACGTCCTTTGAGGTGTGGGAAAGTGTTAATGATAGAATTTCCCAGGGGTCGGGCATATTCGGGTTTTTATTTGATCTCTATCACTTATTGCCTTTACAGGCAAGGTAATGTCTAAACCCTGTTTTTTTCATCTTTGAAATGGAGATAAGAATACTTGCGTGAGGGTTGACAGAATGGTTTAACGAGTGGATCCCTAAGAATTCTTCTTCCACAGTGCTTGGAATGGAGAATTGATCAATGGTAAAAGTCGCCATTCATAGTAATGCTTCAACAGCTACTGTGTTCACTCAACTTTGAATAACTAATACAAGTGACTACCTGAAAAATCAGGGACAATACAAACATTAATCGTACAGGTATTTATTTAATTATATACAGTCTGTATGTGTCTTCAACATAGAATTTTCTTTGGACATGGAAATTATATTCATTTGCTCAGGGTATTACATAAACATATATTCCTAAGTAAGCGCTGGATATGACAAGGTAGGTTGTTTTTTTCCTAATGGTAGTCCTTTCTTTGCCTACCTCTATATTTTTTCAGGAGGAATTTGATGGGGTCCTGACAGAAGAGGCCGTGGCACAGGCACTCCATGAATTGGGGCGCTCAGGCTTGGGGACTGAGCAGGTCTACCTCAGTTTGACTTTATCGGTGAGTATAACAGGCTTATCTTAGGCTGACCACCTCTTGACACTGCCCAGACCATGGCCATTTTCGCTGGTACCCATGGCTTTTGTGGTAGCAGCAAAATCTCAAGGGCTTGCATTTGATGGAGACTGATATAAGAGATATTTATGTAAATATTGGACTTCACAGAGGGTTCTGGCCAATCCAGTAATCAGCCCCCCAAATTCCTTTGTTTCCATGCTCTTCACACTCTAGCTCTTTCCTCTTAACTCGTCTATATTATAGTAATCAATGCTTTCCCAGGAGGTTGAATTTGATTCTGTATAACCAAGCAAAAACTTCAGGAATTTTCTATCTGATCAGTGAAAGAAACACTGAAATTTATATCTGAATCCAAAGGAACCAAGTATTTTGGTATTGACTTTCCCCTATATTTTCTCTCTAATAGTTACCTATCAATGGAGAAAAAAAAATCTACTGTTATTCCTCAGTTTTCAAGATTTTATTCCTACTCTTAGAGTGGCACAAAATCTTAGCTCTGAGTTTATCCTAAAAGAGCACTCTTCGGGGTTCAGCTTCTTTCCTTGTGTCCTTACAGTCCTAGCAAAGTAATTTAACTCTTTTTGCTCCCTTATATTGTAAAGTGTTAAATACTTGAAGATTTGCAAACACAGACACGTGTTTTTTAAAAAAGCACACTGGTAGTCATGGTAGCGCATGCCTGTAATCTCAGCACTTGGGAGGCTGAGGCAGGAAGATTGCCTCGAGTTTGAGGTCAGCTTGGGTACATAGTGATTTCAAGGTCAGTCTGGAATACATAGTGAGATCTTGTCTCAAAAAACTAAAGAAAAAGACACACACACACACACACACACACGCACTTTATTGTAGCACCATGTTTGGTTTCATTATTGGCTAATTCATTGCAAGACTGTCTTGGGCTTGAATTGGTAAAATATTCAAGGAATGTTAAGCTATTGTCATCTGTGTCATGATATGTCCTTTGAGGTGAGCACATTAAGGTTATATCTTTGTTTTTTGGTACCAGGGATTGAACTTGGGTCCTTGTGCTTGCAAAGCAGGCACTGGAACCACTGAGCTAAATCCCCAGCCCCTTAAGGTTATAATCTTTTACTTCTATCACTTTATATAACATTATTCATGGCGACTCAGCCAGTCAGACAATAAAGTACAGGGGAAACCCTATGTATATGCATTGTGTTACATATCAGAATGGTGTAATTCCAGCAGCCTATACAGTTCCACACGAGTCTCTTGCAGTCAGTATTGTACTTATGCATGTAGTGCCATGCCCTGAATTGATCTACCGAGAAAGCAATCCTTTGCATCTTACTCCAGCTGGAGGGACTGACGCTTGACTTACTTTGCCACTGATCTCATTACATTTGAGATATTACATGATGAACTACCTGGCCTTATTAACCTGTCTTACTGAATACACTTTCTGGTTCAATGACACCCCCTCCTTTATCTTACTTATACATTACTTTTTATTTCTTCTTATTACTTGTGTAGATATCTTTTCTCCTTCTAAGTCATACATTTCTTAAGGGCACAGTACATCTCTATTTTATCATTTTATTTTGAATCATGCCAAGCTCAATGATGTCTAGTACGTAGTACATATTCCATATTTCTTGCTCTTTTAGCAGTCTACATTAAACAGTCATCATTATCCTATATGAGAGCTTGCTTAGAATGTATTTTCCTTGGTGGGGTTTTCCTGATTCTGACAACATGACATATACAGTCGTATAATTCTTTGTTCCACAGGATCATATTCCTTTGTAACCCCCACTTCAAGTTCCTTAGGAGAAAAATGTCCAGGGATGAATTTTTAAGAAGGGCTGAGGAAACTTGGATATTACTTTCAAATTACTCAGTAACTCAGGGCGACTTTTGTACCTCTCTGTATCTCATATTCCTCATTTCTAAACTGAGAATAATCTGCCCTATACATCTCATAGGTGTGTTTGATCAGCTGAGATTATTGTGAAAGAGCTTTGAAAATGAGTTCTTGTGAAAGTGTAAGTAGTATTATTAATGATCTCCTGATTAGGTATGAACTCTCTTAAATTTTCATTTGAATTCTAGGCGTTTGCTTTTCTTGTACTAGATAAAAGCTTTGTCTTTATTGCTGTTCTGTGTTTTTTAAATCTAAAACTGCTCTGAAGGTCTTCATGAACTCTGCTTTAATTTGCCTTTTCATGTTGTATTCATTCTTGCTAACAACACTAATTTTCTAAGCTATTATTTTCTTCAGAGGAATGTTTTGTTTTGTTTTTTTAATGGGGTCTGTAGTCTGTTTTGAGATCCTGTTAGTAAAAGGCTTCAGATTTTGTTCTCTTGCCGCTTCTGTACCTTTGAAAGAAATTCTGGATTTCTTTCCATTAACAGTTATTTCCAGATATTGCAAGGCTGGCTACCAATCTGCTGAAGCAATAGTAAAGTCTTTTATTTTCTCAGGGTTGTGATTTAACCAACGTTAGCATTTTGTGTGGATATATTCACCTGCAGAAGTTGGATCTTTCAGTGAATAAAATTGAAGGTATGTAATTGTCATTCTAGCAGATTGTATACTGATTTCAGAATCGAAACATCACAGTATATAATGTAGTTTCATAAGACCAAACTTGGTATGAGTGTTTTGTAGATCAGTTTACCTATTGATCCTTTGCTTTCCCTGCTCCCTCTCCCTCACAAGGCCCCAGTGACCAGATGGGTGAGGAAAACGCACAGGTCTGCAGTGATGATATGGCCAGTACGCACTCAGGGATAATTAAAACCAGGATGGAATGTTTGCCTTAGGTTTCCTTTTAAGAGATCGATTGTTATCTCTAAAATACTTCCTGAATGATGATTCCTTTTTCTTTCTATTAGTTATTTAATGCAGATGAATGTCTTTTTTTCTTTAGTGAATTCTTTATTTTGCTTTTGTGTTTACAGTGTAATCCTATCTAGCTATTTCTATCCTTGTTTGGGCCCCAGGGGTTCACAAATTTATTTTTCTCTCTTTTTGCTGTCTCTCCATGTTTGGTTGATTCTCTCAACCCAACTCTGCCATCTGTAGTTCTATATATTTGTTATGACACCTTGCTCACATTTAATGAAATTAGTTTTGTAATTGTCACATTTACTCAAAGCTTGATTCCTGTTGCTGTGTCTGGTTTTACTTGTTTTTAACAGTGTACATTTTTTTTCCTTCAGACTTCTAGAGAAGAAAGCAAGTCATTATTTCTGACTTGCTTTCTGTACTGATTAAATCAGATGTTGCTGATATGATCTTCTGTCTCATTCTCTGATCCCTTTCCATTGACAGTTAAAATTTACTCTTCAATAGCTAAGAAGTATTCTTACCTGCACTTTTTGTTCTTTGAAGTTTTTCATAGTTAGCAGTTAGCAGCTGAAGACCAGTCTTGTTTCATCTACAAATCCTTGGGGCCCCTGTACCCTAAGGTAATTTTAAAGCGAATCCCAGACTATGATGATCACGTCATCAGGAAGACTTTTTTCCGTGTTTCTGGCAGGAGTGCTCCACCCACCCCACACTTCCGAGGTTGATTTAGCAGATAAGAGATTGCAGGAGTGGTAGGCTCCTTTGACCTTGCTTGGTTCTCACGTCACGGAAAGTGACTTTTTTTCATGTCCATGCCACACGAGTAAGGAGTCCACAGTTGTAATGGAAGCTTTCCTTTTCACTCAGATCAGTCTCCAAAATCCCGGTGGCCCATTTTAATCATTTATCAAGTCTTTGAGAGCCTACTATGAGTTGGGTACCGCATGTTTTTCTTTTGTGCTGTCGGCCTTCTTGGTTTCTGATGAGGTAGACCAAATTTCAGCTTGCAGCACAATCATCTTGGGATGGGGCGTTAAAATAGATGTCCAAACTCCACCCTCAGAGTATCTGATTCAGTAAATTTGGATGGCCCCCAAAAGTTGCAGTTTAAATTCTTGGTTGAAGCTGAGTATGCTGATCCAGGACCTCACTTTGAGAACCACGAATGTAGATGTGAGGTGCTCCTGCCATCTGGTGGACAAGGAAGTCATTGCACCGAGTAGGGTCTTCACAACCTTCTGGAATTTGGGTTCTGGCCTCTCAGACCAGGGATTATTTGTCAGGGTGATTTTTAAAAACACTGGCCCTCTGCAAAGTGTGAAATGCGTTCAGCATCACTTTGCTTCTAAGTACTATATAGCTGCTGCTTCTGCTTTCAGACAGACAGATGTCCACGGTATGACAAAAGGATCGGCTGCAACAAGGGTTTGGGAAATGGAAGTAGATGGAGCTGAGACCGCTCCCAACACACATACATCCGAGCTCAGAATGGACAGATAGACACAAATCATAAAGCTTTTACTTTCCTCTCGTAGGCAGCTCCTTGGTTGGCTCATTCATTTGTACCGAAGTGGCAATACCCCAATTTATTGTCTCATCTCGAGCCATTTGCATTTTGGATGTGTCTCATTTCAGAGGGATGAAGTAGAAGTTGGTGGGGATTTCGTAGCTTTAATGTCCCTTGAGAAGGAAAGGGGCCAAAGGCCTTCTCACACTGCCTGCCCCACCTGCTCCAGGGCAGGGGCCCCGAGGCCCTGGCACCCTACCCTCTCCTGGGCTGCGAGTATCTGTGCCCTTTGGGGAAAGGTAGAAGTGCACTGCTTGGCTCTGAATGTGGAGGCTGCTTTCTCCAACTAGGAGCCATCCTCTGGGCAGTTAGAATGGCTCTGACCACACCTCGGAGTCCGAGAACTGGGAAGGAGCTGTTGTCGTTCCTGTTTGCAGGTGGTGAAGTGAATTGCTGGTAGTGGCAAGGCTGTAACCCTTATTATCTGATTACTCCTGGTCTCTCCCTTCCCAGAGCGCCTCTGCTGTAAAGCCGCAGAGAAAGGCAAAACAGTGCTTCACAGCTTTTATGTTTTATATGCAATTCCTTTTGGAATCTATTAGCACATAGTCCTTTTAGTTAGTATTTAAATTTCAGAATATTTGCTAGGGATAAAATGCAAAATTCAGATGTAATTTTGAACCAATCCAGAGTTAAATTAAAATAATAGCAGTGATTTAAATCATGTCAAATAATTAATGAGATTTAGGATTAATTCCAACTAAAACAAAATTGAATTTACAACAAAGAGTGTTCCCTAATTGTGGCATTTCCAATCTTCTGAAAAGACCTAATTCAGTTATTTAGGGGCTAATTATCAAGAGGATTATCTAAGGCTTTAGTTTCTCATCCTTTCCTTGAAGGCTGGTAATGTTTGAAATATTTAGGCATTAGCAGCTCATGGGAGGGGGAGCAGGGACATTCAGGGATCTCGGATATTCATTACTTGGACATCCCAGAAATCAGGGAACAGAAGAGCTGGGCAGATCCCAGATAGGAACTAGAGGGGTTTCCACATTTATGTAAAAAATATTTCACACATTCCTGATTTCATTTATTTTAGTCATCTAGATTACTTAAGATGTTCTTGGTACTGGTAGAGTTCAAAAATATTCTGATGTAGCATATGCTGTTTTTAATGGCTTTTTCAAATTATTTTATTGACTTAGCCCTTCTGTGTCTATTTTCCCCTCAGATTTGTCTTGTGTGAGTTTCATGCCTTATCTTCTGGAACTTAATGCTTCTCAAAATAAACTGACTACATTCTTCAATTTCAAGCCACCCAAAAATCTCAAGGTACATTTTATTAATACACTAATTACTTATGTTAAGTGGTTTTCAAAGTACATTAAATAAGCAAAATAGCACTAAAGTAGAAAAGTAACAGAGAATACTTTGTAGGATAAATCGTGTGTTTCAGTTGAGATAAAAAAGAAAGAAAAGGGAGGTGGTCTGTCCTCTCAGCCTTTTTATTTATTTATTTAAAAAAATTTTTGGGGGGGTTCCAGGCATCTAACTGGGGTCCTTGTGCTTGTGATGCAGGCAGCGGAACCACTGAACTAAATCCCCAGCCCTAGCCTGTTTAAACAGCAGTCATTATTACCTTTCTTTTGCTAGAGCAATTTTATCTGAAATATTTGTAAAAATTTCTGAGAGGTTCAAACTTTTTTTCTCTTAATTATCCAACCTTTATTTTAAAGAAATAAAATAATGCTTTCAGATCTCCACTCCTGCTTCCCTGCGTTTGCTATGGTACTTCTGAAGCAGAAATGGACTTCCTGTGGACAGTGGTTTGGGGAAGTTTGCTGCCCTGTACAACTTCTGCCTCCAGGTGCACCTGGGTCTCCCATGGTTCTTGTGAAATCTAGAGTCCCACTTGGCAGGTTGGGGACTGTGATTTCTTCCAGCCTTCCTGGTGACATCCTGACTATTGGCCATCCTTAAGTAGAGAGATCATAGAGTGCAGATTCCCTGTTTTTTTCTGCACATTGGAATCACCTGGGGGAATTTTAAGACCTACTGAGGCCTCGATTCCACACTAGACATTCTTATTTATGTGGTACGAAGTACAGACTGGGCTTTGGATATGTTAAATGTCTCCCAGGTGATTGTAATATGTATGCTGACAAATTGGAGAATCATTGCCACAGAGCTTATGATGAGTGTTGTTCTGTTGGATTCAAGTATTTAGTAAACTATTTTTTGTTTGTTTGTTTTTTTGAGACAAGGTGTCCCTACGTAGTTTAGGCAGGCCTTGAACTCACTGAGTAGCCTAGGCTGGCCTTGAACTCACAGTGATCCTCCTGCCTCAGCCTACTGAGAGCTGAAATTATAGGCATTTGTCATCATGCTTACTAAAACGTATTCTAAGGAATGGACATCAATTGCTATCTTTTATTATCCATTTTATTTACAAACCCAGTTAACTTACATACAAAGTATTCCTCTGAAGTCGGCACAAATATGAAAATCTGCTTGAAATCAAGAATTTGATATTTCCCTTCTGAGAGTGATAATACCTTTTTCCCCTGTTGTTTCACATCATTCCATTTTCTTAGTGTTATGGTTTTTCTTTTGAAATTATAGTTATTCCCAGGGTGACAGTGACATGTCTTTGTCTAAATAAGCCACATTTGGGGCCTTTTTGTACTCAGTTTGGGACTGTGTAGTCTCACAGTTGTCAAGAATTATATTGGCAGAGCCGTTTTAGGTTTCCTCTGCTGTCCTATTTGCCTCACTCCGAGCCCCAGGGAAATCAGTCATGGTAACAGTATGATTCCTCCCTTGGGAAACCTTCCTTGCAGTTTCTTCCAATCACCTCTGTATTTCCTTCTCCCCAAAAGACACAAAACAGAAAACAAATCATAAGTCACATCTTTGAGGTTACAACTTCTTGGAGAATTAAGAGCAAATTCGAGAAGTATTTGCCCTCATGTGAGGTGTTTCAACTTTATTCAAGCTCTAGAAGGACCTGAGAAGGAATCATTGAGGCTTTCTGGTGTTTTCAATGCATTTCTTCTTTAACCGTTCCAGTTAATCTGTGACCCAGCCATTCCTGGTCCATTTCACAGTTGAGGACACTGAAAACTCGGAAGGGTTAAGATTTTTTACTTAACCTTTGCTGGGAAGTAGGGATTGAACTCCATGTCTGAGCACAAAGCCTGTATCTTCCCAGTAAGTCAGGCTTGGGCCGACCTGTGTCCCAACCTCTTGAGAAGATTACTTTTTTTTCCCTTTTAATATCTATAAGCCTTTTTCTACCACCCAGACAGAGCATGCATTTCTTTGTAAATAGCAGGGACTTGTCCTTGTACTCTCTTAGATTTCTTATGTACTTTTGCTCTTGGTAGGTGAAAAGTGTTCATTTGATTTGATGGGTACTTCCTGTAAGGTATGGGTTCCAGTGGGACTCAGAGCAATATCATAACACCTTTAAAATCTTTCAACAAACTTGGCATCATAGATACTTAGATGGCATAGCATGGATATATAGCCCCAATAGAGGCATAGTTAGGTTTTGGTGGAAGTTACAAGTAAGCCCATATAATTTTATTTCTAACCCACTATTAATTATATAAGAAAAAAACTGAATGCTAAACTCCATTTACATCATTCCAAGCTGACTTATTTCATAGTGTGCATGTTCCATACCTGCCATGTGTAGCATATATATTTATGTTCAAAGTTTTTGACTTAACACTGTTTACACATTTCTCGTGCTTCACATAGTTTGCAAACTTGGGTTTTACTAGCTAACTGTTGTTGTAATTGACTCAAGCAGTTTTCTACTTTGGCTACTTGTGATGTTTCTAAAAAAATTTTTTAGTGTTATATATTTTTGTATTTAGAGTATTAGCACTTCATGCATTGCTAAAACAATCTTAGTAAAGTTTTTGGGTGGAATCACAGTTTTAAAGGTCATGAAAAAGTAGGAATAGTGTGTATAATACAAATCGCTTGATGGTTTTTTAGAAAATGATTTGTGTGCTGAGCAAGTTATCGAAGCAGTGTTTCAAAACTTTTTTTTTCTGTTTATCTTTACCAGTAGGTGAATAATTAAGTGAAGTTATTTAATGCTATTTTTTAGGCCTCTCCTCCCACAGTGTTGGTGCTGAGGATTGAACCCAAGACCTCACATGCTAGGCACTGCTCTGCCACTGAGCTAAACCCCCAGCCCCTATTCTCATGTTTTTCACTAGAAACAACAGATGTTGCTGAAAATGCCTTCCCTCAAAATAGTCAATTTTGAGAAAGAACTAAAGTTGAAGAGGTGTAGCCTGAGAGACAAAAAAAGACGGACTATTCTGGCAGTTAGGAGGTGACATGGAAGAATATAATGAGATAGGAACAGAAAAGGGGAAGACAAGAGAAACAAGTTCTGCATTAAACGAACTGCGTAAGGTCTACTGGCTGTTACAGAATATGAAAAACATGGAGGTGAGGGTGACTGAGATAAACGGTGAAGGAAGACCAAGAGAGTGGACAATCAACACTGACAAGTAGAGAGTAGCTGTGGGAAAGGGAAGAATTTAGTCCATTGGGGTCTCCCACAGAAGGTCTGGCCTCCTTTGAATCCTGGAAAGTGGACAGACAAGGATGCTGGTTAGAAAATGGTCATCGATGCAATGATGTGTTATCCTTGGTGTTCTTTCAGTATGAACTCTACCTCTAAAACCAGTAACATCTTTTTGTTCATTTAGTTATTGTGGTGTGTATGAATGAAAGGTAATATGTAACATATTGTTCTCTTTTTTCTCACCAGAAGGTGGATTTTTCCTTCAACCAAATTTCTGAAATGTGTGATTTGTCAGCATACCATGCTCTCACTAAACTAATTTTGGACAGTATCCTTTGAATAAAGGGGAAAATTCGAATAATAGTTCCAACAAAGAATATGTACAAGATTACATGAAATAGTAACAGACATTGTATTAGAAGTGTCTCTTTGAAGTGATTAATAATTGATATTCACAAAATGAGGAAAAATTTTTTGTACCAAGGAATAAAACTGTAATTCAAAGATTGCCAAGAGCATCTTACTCCTGAAAAGCTAAGTAAGACGATCCTTTTTCTAATAAATGTAGGATTATTCTTAATCTGGAACTAGAGAAGTTGTTTTAGTGTACTTGTTCAAATATGCCTTACATTGTACCCTATTTTATATAATTTCAGCATTAAAAATTCAGCTGTTTATCTAGCACAAAGTTATAATTATTGTCCAAAATAATTCATATTAAGTTTCTTTTAAAAAGCCAACCTTTCTTGTTTGTTGGTTGGTTTTTGTAGTGATAGTGATTGAACCCAGGGGTTTGAGTATGCTAGATAAGTGCTCTACCACTGATCTATACCACCACCCTCTAGAATAGATGTAAAACATTCTTTCACTAAAAAAAAGGGCAAAAACAACATTTGATCTGCAGCCAACTCTGGGAATATATGTCTTGCATGAGGGAAGCCCTGGTGTAAACAGAGTATCTACTTTAAAGTCAGCTTCTATGGCTAGGATGTAAGGAGTTCATTGGAGACCTGTGAGTTTAATGAGCTTGCCTCTCTTCTTTACACCAGAGACTGATGTTCTCTGGGCAATACAGGAGGAGGACCTTCTCTTCCCTCAGTAAGTATCTTTCTATTCACCTGAGGGTTTTTTTTTTGGTGGGGGGCAGGATGGAGCACGAATTGATTGCCCTTGGTGTCTTGTTCCAGGGACATGGAAGCAGCTTGTTTATAAAGTAGCTGAGATTGCAAAAGGCACATTTCCTTGAAGACATATTTTGTAGAAATGATTCATTCATATCTAATGGAGTGATAGAATCCAGTCCCACTCCCTTTAGAACCTATATGTGAAAATGGTCAATTAATAGGCACTTAGAGCTCTTGTGATGAGCAAGTGTTCCTGATAGTAGCGTACTAGAGCAATCAGGTGACGATACAACTGAAATTTCCTGATGCAAACTGGAAGTTCACACACACTAGTGGCATCTCTCCATAGACATTCATTTCATGTGTGACAATCGTATGCACTAACGTTGCAGAGAGATAGAGCTTGTGAGCTCAGAAGCCATCTGGCTGAAAGTCCCCTCATCTTAGGTCATATGGAAGACACCAGCAGCTGTAACATCACCTAAAATTTCCTAGAAATGCAGATTCTTGGACACCACGCTGCCCTGTATAACATAAATTGTGTTTGAACAAGATGCACAGACACTTCAAATGCATGTTAAAGCCTCAGAAGACCTATTCTAGGAGTTAGCTGCCCTCTAAACTCTTCCCTGTTGAAACAGTACTCACCACCCAGAGCCTCTTCCTGTCCTTCAGGATCCAGACAGGGTAGCATGGAGTTTGATATGGAAAGATCTGACCCCCAGAAAAGCATTCTTTTATGTGCAGACTGGAATTGCCAAAGAAAATAACTTCCTGGTATTCTAGATTCAATGGGGAATACAGTTTAAAGCATTTCTATCATGAGACTCTTAATCTCTATATAAATTTAGCTTTCTGTGTAAAAATGTATTGTGACTTTGAAAATGTTAAGTGTCATAAAGGAATTAGATTTTATTTTATCTTATTTTTTGCAGTATTGGGATTGAACTTAGGGTCACACTGGTGTACACTGGATAAATTCTCTATTGTTGACTCACATCCCCACTGTGTTTATTTTTTATGTTGAGGCAGAGTCTCACTAAGTTTCTCAGACTGACTTCAAACTTATGATGCTCTTATCTGTACCTCCTGAGGAGCTGGGGTTATAAATGTGCCTGGCTTTTAAAAAAACTTGACATTAGATATATAAATTGAGGCTTATCAATGAAGTATGAAAAGCTGTAATTACTACACAGAACCAACTGAAATTCAGAATGTGTGTGTATAATTAGAGTATAACACAGCATCATTACTCACCTGTGTTTGAAAAAAATGCACAAATAGCCAAAACAATCTACTTTTTATAGGCTACCGAAGAAATAAATTTAGATGTCTTACAGTTTTGATAAGGTTGTAGGCTTGTTTCTAAGAGTATTAGATATGTCTCTTTCTCTTTTGTTCCCTTTGATCAAATATTGTGCATGATGTAGGCAGTAGAGTTTTATGAGTTTTTCTGGACAGCTGTAAGTAAAAAAATAATATCTGATAATATTATAAATTAAACTCTTTGGAGAAAAAATCATATTAGATTACTTTCAAAAGGCTAAAATGCTTTGAAATTTTAAAAAGAGGATTTTAAAACAAGTTTTATGTTAGTACATTTGAAAACTTGGATGAAGCAGACAAATTTCTAGAACAGCATTACATAGAAAAGCATTGCTTTGAAAGTAGAAACCTTATGGGCTGGGGATTTAGCTCAGTGATGCTGCCACCTGCCTTGCAAGTGTAAGGTCCTGAGTTTGATCCCAGATACCAAAAAAAAAAAAAAAAAAGAGAGAGAGAGTCAGAAAATAGAAACATTTAGTAGTCCTGTTAAGCTACTCATCGCAAATTAAAATTAACTAATTTAATGTATTAAACTTTCCTCACCAAAAAAAAGCAAAAGCAAAACAAAACCGACCAGACCCCAGCTTTCAAGAACAGACTTTCTAATAATCAACAGTCTTTCATTAAAGATAGAATGCATATATATATTCACAGCTCATTCTGAGGAGGTTTATTGATATCTAAGCCCAGGAACTGTAAGAGAAAGGAAAGGACAGGTTTATTTCTCTCAAAGTATAACATAAAACCTTAAATAATAGTGATGAATCTAACAGTATATTAAAAACATGATTTATTATTAACAAGTTAGGTTCATCTTAGAAATGTAAGGGTAGCTTGATCTTAGGAAATCTAGGTGTCATTTACTACATTAGCAATTTAAGGAAAATAAATCTTGATATCTTTAGCTAAACAAGCTGAGTAGATACATAAAATTTAATAAAATCCAGCACCCATTTACAAAAAAACTCTCAGTAATAGGGAGTTTTCTCTATCTGATAATATATACAAAAATATTTAAAGAAATTTTATCCAAATTTGGGGCATGTTCTAAGCATTTTTCTTTGAAAAGTCAGGAATAAGAAAAAGGATTTCTACCATTGTTATGTCTGCTCATTGCTTTGAAGGTCTCATCACCATAACCAAGAGAAAGAAACAGAGGTACAGTATAAGACTGGTATGGAGAAAATAAAAGCCACTCTTTGCAAAAGCAACAAAGAATATGAAAAAGAACTTGCACTAGAAGCAATAGAATTTTGAAAGGTCAGCAAGGGGGTTGGACATAACATTAATACACAGCAATCAATTGTATGTCTTTCCGCAAGCAGGAGATACCATTTATAAGAGCAACGAACATAATTTTTTTGTGTGTGTGGAGGAGAGGGAGTGTTGGGGATTAGACTAAGGGCCTTCACAGTAAGCTACATACATGGTGTTCATTCATTCATCATTCATTCATGACAGGCGCTTGCTAAATTGTACAGGCTGGGCCCAAATTTGTGATGATTCTGCCTCAGCCTCCCAAGAGTGTGTATCTCCACACCCAGCTAGCAAACATGAATCTTATTAAGGATCAGTAAGATCTGGAGAGAGCCGGGCATGGTAGCACCGCCTGTAATCCCAGAACTCAGGAGGATGAGGCAGGAGGATCGCTGTGAGTTCGAGAACAGCCTGGGCTACACAGTGAATTCCAGGTCATCAGTCTCAACTACATAGTGAGACCCGGTCTCAAAAAACCAAAAAATAAATAAATAAAATAAAATAAGACCTGGAGAAGTGGGAAATCATAATAAAACTTTACTGAAGAGTTACTGAATTCTAGTTAAGGGGAAATATATCCCAAGTTCCTAGATAACAAGATGCTCAAAGATGTAAAAAGAATGTTACAAAAGAATCAGATAAAGCTAGTAAACGTATGAAGAGATGTCAGTCTATTTGCTTTCAGAGAAATGCAATTTAAGACCACGTGAGGTACTCTATCACCTCCGCTCCACATCCAGAATTTAAGATAACTAAAAATACCAAGTATTGGAGAGCATATAGGCACAAGAAGCTTTCCTTTTCCTTTGTTTGTATGTATGAAATTTGTTAAATTGATTTAGAAAACAATTTAATATTATCTTTTAAGTATCAAAATTCGCTATGACCTAGCACTTTCGTTTCTGCCAAAGAAAAGTCTAGCAAATGTGCACCTGGATGCTTGTGTCAGAATGTTCTTGTTGTTGTTGCTTATAATAGCAAAAAACTTGCAACAGCACAGCCCAAATGTTTATTGATAAGAGAAAACAAGTTTTGCTATCGTCACAGAATAGCATGTTACATAGTTTTGAAAATGAATGCAGTGTACCTACATGCAGCAAAAAGTGTGAATCTTCATAAAAAGTATAATTTAGGTATAAAGCTAATGGAAGAAGGGAAGAGGAAAGAGCCAGTTCGGCATAGGGATTATCTCTGAGGGGCAGACATAAGGATTTGACAGGAGAGGTGTGCAAGGGCAGATTTAAATTGTTGCCAGTGTTCTACCTCTTGTTTTGGAGTGAAGAATAGTTACAAGAATGTGTGTGTGTGTGTGTGTGTGTGTGTGTGTGTATGTGTGCGCGCGTGCGCGTGTGTTTTGGAGACTGAATCTAAGGCCTTATGCATGGTAGGCAGGAGCTCTTCCACTGAGCTAAACCCCTAGTAACCATTGTACTGTTAAAAGTGAACAAAAGCACCTGGTCCATGGGCCAATATTATTCAAGTATTAAGCTTAACTCTATGTAAGAATTTTAAAACTTAAACATTCTGAATTGATTTCTTTGAAAAGAATCAGTTAACCAAACTAATAATACTGACAATGTGATTACAGTAGATTATAATAATATCCCAGAAAGAACTATTC